CCACCAGAAGACGACGGCGGATTCCTATTGACTAGCTTTCGATTGGCTTTACTGGAAGATTCAAGCTAATGAGTCAAGAAAGCTCACCGGCAAATCTCTAAAAAGTGGTATATATACTCTAGCCTCTGATAAAGTATAAAGTGATTTCGTTAGTTAAGGTCATGTCAACTTCGATGCCTGTGAGGGTGTCTTCACTGTATGTGTATGAGCCTGTTTGTGTTAGTTTATGCACGAAACCTGCAGTGATGGATGAAGGTAATTAGGACAGCAAAAAGGAACGTCTGTTTTTGGCCATTAAGGTTTGATGACCCTTATCTCCCTCTTTCTACATGCATGTTATAATCATCCCTCCGATTGCGCAAGGTCGGACACTCGTCTGGTTTTGTCGATGAGCCTTCGCCCAACACTTTCACTCGAAATGGAAGTAACCTCAACAATTATGAAACAAGATATTCCTCGAAACCCAACTTTTCTTCGCATATATTGTGATATTTACTTTATTTGTATTTCGAACTGTGGTCTATTCACTTTTCCATTTTATGAATTTATTTTACTATTTCTATAGACATCTCATTATACTACACATTTTGGTTTCTTATTGCCTATTTCAGAAAAAAATATCACTGTAGATCTCATTTTGATTGTATTCTGCTTCTTATTTACCGCTTGACTAATAATGGCCTATTTGTCCCTATATGTCGTGTTTTTTTGCCTCGTCTGCAACTAATTTTTTAATCTTTATCGTTTCTTAAGAGATAATGGCTTCTTTTGTAAAGCCAATTGATTCAAATTAATTAGTTTTCTATATATCTAACCTCATTCAGGTAATCGATCTCGATCCACAGTGGCCCGAGCGTGCCTGCTTTGCTTTGGTTGTGCGTACGAGCTCTGAACTAGACGATCGCATTTATGCCTATTGCCTAGCAGCTAGCTTTGTTGCTTGTCTCGGCACTTCTAGTTCTGGTGGAACTGGCAGCACAGGTGTCCAGCAAACCCGCTTGCCAGAACCTGTGGAGGCTGCTCTTTCTGAGGTGACGTCGTATCGTCACAATTTCTTGCATGTGCCTTTGCCGCAACCAACTGGAAGTGGTCTCTCAAGAAAGACCTCGGCTCCAACTGCTCAACCTGCTCCACATATAGAAATACAGAGTCAGCATCAACCCATAAAGAGAGCGCCAAACTCGGTCCCTGCTTCTGCCAAAAATGCGTATTTTAACTCGACTAATAACAATACAGCATATGGCGGTGGAGGAGGGTTTTTCAGCTCCATCACTTTGGCTCTTAGTGGCGGAGGTGGAAATTCCTTACATCAACAGCAAAGTCAAAATCAACTACCGATATCCTTGCCCTCAAGTTCTGACACGCCAGCGGCACAGACAACTACAAACACTTCAACGATTTCTACCAATTCTGCAGCTGCTTTGCAAGCTTGTGTTTCTGAAGCAAAGCGAGTTTTCTTGGGTCAACTTTGCCATCATGTTGTGCAGGTTAGCTGTTTGGTGAGTCGTCCGGAGGAGCTAGTTATAGAAATGCGATCTCAAGATCTACTTGGCTTCGACTTGGAACCAGTTTTCAATGCCAAATCAGCTTCCTTAAGGGCCAAAAAGTGAGTCCATTGTGGATTTTCTATAACTTTTAGGATATTTGGTTTCTTGGCTACTTCTTGCGTCGTCAATTTGTCTAATATTGCGCTTCACTTATATCATATTTATGCACAATTTTTTTCGTTTAGCAGAAGTTATACTTTAATAATCTTCATCATAACACCTAGTGAAGTCGATTTAAGTCACTTTATATTTGGAAATTGCACTAATCGGTATCTCATATATGATGATCTCTTTAAGCATAATCATAACACCTTCGGGTAAAGTTTTTTCGAAGGTATGGAGACCAAAATGGTATGGTCTTTTGCATTGTCGCAGTCTTCCTTCGTTGTATATTAGTTGCTTGACCTTTTTTCGCAGCTTGGTAATATTGGCAGGAAGACCTAGAGGAAGCATCCTGTCCGGAGCCTGTAGCACGCACGATAATTTCCAGAATCGGACCGTGGACTTGGTACATTCTAAGACCTTTCGCCGGCACCATACAATAACTCGTCCAAGAGACAAGTGAAGTCGATCCTTTGACCAATTGTCTGCTAAACAGCTGTGGTATCTCTTCTGTCTTGGGCTATTCACATATCCTTTATCCTCATATCACCACTTCAATATTACAATTACTTACTTGCTTATTTAAGTGTGTTATGGTGTGTCTTTTGGGCGGATTTCATTATACTTCTTCACACTCTACGCTGGATTTCTCATCCCAAACCTTGTGCTGGGAATGTTGATCCTAGTCTGCCATATTAGGCCGCAATCCTCTTCGCATAAATCAAGCCAGGGTCTTCCTCTTTTCTCTCAGGATCCGTCTGCTATCTTTATGGTTCAAGTATTTCACTCGATTCCTGCCACCCTATCTGTGCTACTTGAGGCGTTATTTCCCACACATTGCCTCAAGCCTTTGATGGCACGTATAATCCAACCTCGCTGAGGCAGCCCACAACTTCTGGATTCTCAAGCTAGATTGGGGACCAACTTAAGGCTATGCATCCCGATTACTTCTCACGATCAAGCCTTCGCTTGGTGGATCACATCTGTGATCAAACACGCCAATCAGCTCTAATCTCTACCGCATCTATCATCCTTCTATCCATAATGCCAAACCTATGACTTCCTTTGCCCTAGTCTTTTGTTTGCCAACTCGCAAATGTTGGGGTTCTACTTGTCCTGAATAGGCTCACCGTAGACGTCTTCTCTTGGTTTCCGATTATTCATTTCTGGTCTCCTTGATACAGCCGTCTTCTTTTTTCTGATCTTACTGTTGCCTAATCTTCTCGAGTTTGCTTTGGCCATATTCAAAGTTTTTACTGATCCTTCCTTCTCAAGTCTCCTGTTCATTATATTTCTTCCAGTCAGTATTTCGATGGCCCGTCGGATTTTGCGTTTTCTCGAATTTTTATCATATGAAACCAGCCTTTCTATCCATTTCTTGTCTCGTCCGTGCAATGTTTCGCTATCTCGGATATTTCCGTATCCATGTTTCTACAGAGTCTTTGATGTTCCTTGGTTCGTAAGCCGATTTTTCTTTCTGTTTCACCAATATACTTCTTCTCACACACTTGATGCGTTAAACTTCCGAGCAACCCAGTTTGTCAATCCTATCATATTGCGTCGGCAAACTGGTGAAAAGTGTTATCACCTTGCTATTCCATTTTTTAGTAACGGTGGCAATTTTTGGCTCAGTTCACAGAAGGACAGGCATATCCACTTTTGGTCGTCCTGATTCTTGATATGACTTTCATAAAATCCGAGTTGAAATTTGCTTTTTATACCCCATACATTCTTTTATGGTGTACCCGTTACTAAGAAAATCTCCGTCAAATTTTCGTCCCAGAACTTCATGTCAGTTAGTCTAAAGCTTCTGGTGAGCAAACTATTCGGTCTGTAGTTATGGTAAGGCTGAAAATTAAGGATTATTCCTGCATGTTAATTCTTTCTGAATAGTCTCATGAGTGTCCTGTTGGAGCGCATGACCTCAATATCCAGGTAGGCAGTCGCCTATCCTCCTCCATCTCCATTGTTCATTTATTTTGTTCATTAAGTTGGCTAATAAAATTAAAGAATTCATTCGAATTTTCCTTGCCATGCGACCACGGTCCAAAGTAGTCATCCAGTTATCGCATAAGCACTCAGTTGATTATATTCTTCTCAGTCAGTATATCAATGGCTTCTCGGATCTTGCCTTTTCTCGTGTTTTCACCATAACCAGCCAACCTTTCGGTAGATTTCCAGTCGATTTCGTGCCCCATCCGTGCAATGTGTTCCA